CCTTGGGGGCAAAAAACGGTGAAAGCTAACGTACGAAACCAGAGGGCAGCACACGATGCGATCGCGCGACCCTGCCCGTGAGCAATCTCCCTACTCATCTCTGCCCAGTTATATGTCAGCGACTTGACACGTGTAGATTCTACAGGTATGTTATTTGTTTTGTGATTAACGTTACCTGTGTAATGGTATCGGAGCAATATTACGTTAAGATAAGCTCGAGTAATTCTCACATTGGATGGTGATTATTGTAATCAGTAACTGGTAAGATCGGATTTTATTATTGTTCATTAAAGTTTATTAATTTGCACTACGACTAAAAGTATATTAAATGTAAATATAACTAGCGGCCTCGATATTTTGCTTCTATGCGATAAATAATTAATTTTTCACTTATGATTAGCAATGTATGCGGACTGCATTGTATCTATTTTTATAATCTCCTATGAAACGTTGGCAGGATATAAGAGATTGTAAATGTTTTGTAAGTGTAATATATGGATTGATGCCCTTTTTCATTACTAATAAGTTCATTTTTTATCCTTTTCATGTATGGGTTGAATACCCAATGAATCAAGTTTAAGTGTCCTGTGAGCAGAACACTGGATTGTTCGTGATGCGGGCATTAATTCTTGTCGGTGGTTATGGGACAAGGTTACGTCCTCTTACGTTAAGTCGTCCTAAACCTTTGGTCGAATTTGCTAATAAACCAATGTTAATGCATCAAATTCAAGCGTTGGTATGTTTAACGGTTCACATAAAAAAAAAACCTCGTTTGTAAGCATTAGTGGTCAACGGTTTGCAATGGTTCGAAGGCAAAGGAAGGTAAAATTTATTATAAACATTTAATCTGGGTTTCAGGTGCAAGTGAATGTGAGAGAAATCATTTTAGCAGTGTCGTATCGTGCAGAAGAAATGGAAAGAGAACTTGGAGAAGAAGCCAATAAAATAGGAGTACGTCTGATTTTTTCGCATGAAACAGAACCATTGGGAACTGCCGGTCCGCTTGCATTAGCAAAAGACCTGCTGCATTCCGGTGACGATCCATTTTTCGTTCTAAATTCTGACATCATTTGTGATTTCCCATTTAAAGAACTTTTAAGCTTTCATAAAAGGCATGGTAAAGAGGGTACTATACTTGTAACTAAAGTTGAGGAACCCTCAAAATATGGTGTCGTAGTGTACGGTGATGGTGGCCAGATCGACAGATTCATTGAAAAACCGCAAGAATTTGTATCGAATAAAATTAATGCAGGTATATATATTTTAAATTCGACCGTATTAAACAGAATACAGTTAAAACCTATGAGCATCGAGAAAGAGGTATTTCCTAATATGGCTCATGACGGGGAACTGTATGCTATGGAATTATCTGGATTTTGGATGGACATTGGACAGCCTAAAGACTTCATTACGGGTGCATATGAATCTTGATTGTGCATCTTTTGCACCGGTGCTTTCGCATAACCGAATTAGTATTAAATGTTATTGTCGTTTCAATTAGGCATGTGCTTATATCTCACTTCACTGAGACAAAAGTCGCCAGAAAAGTTGTATTCTGGAAAAGGTGTCGTTGGTAACGTATTGGTAGATCCAACGGCTACCATTGGCGACGATTGTCGAATCGGTCCAAATGTTACGATTGGGCCTGGGGTTGTATTATCGGATGGTTGTTGCATAAAAAGATGCACTCTTTTGAAGTCTGCTGTTATAAAGGAACACGCTTGGCTTGATGGGTAAGGCATCACTATGTTAATAATTAAAAGAACGGGATATCTGCGTGTATAAAGAAATGTAGAGATCGCTTCCCTCGATTGCAGGTGCATCATAGGCTGGAAGAGTGTCGTAGGACGTTGGGTGCGAATGGAAGGAATAACGGTTCTAGGAGAAAATGTCATCGTAAAGGATGAACTTTACATTAATGGTGGACAAGTCCTACCACACAAAAGCATTTCTGCATCTGTTCAGGAACCTCAAATTATTATGTAGAATTAATGATAGAAACTAATCATTAACGGAACAGGATGTGTATTATAGTCAATTGCGTTATTACATATAACAAGATAAATTGTAATATAATATCGCATCCTGAAGTACATACAAGTACATACACACGCGCACATGCTCGACTTTGTTTTTACGGTAAGATTGTAGTAAATACCAAGTAATTTTATAATGACTGTACATATAGAGGTATTTTACCGTGGTCTTATTATAATTCATACTACCTTTATTGGATAAAGCAATGTCAACTTGTACTTTCATTGTAGTCACTTTGGATTATATGCCCGGAACCCAGTAAAGAATGAAAATTAGATTAATTATTTCTCGACGATTCTTAACATTTTCTCCTTTTGTTGGCTGTCTAATACGTTCGACAGTTTCTATGTTGAAATAACCACACGTCTATTATGTATCAAAACGTGAACACAAACGTTAAGAAATATTAGTATAATATAAAGAATTACCATTTAAGATTCGCGGTTGGTGATCAATACGAAGAATATGTGAAGTTACACCAGGATTATTCACGGTGTAATTCCAACAGATTTTCACAAAGGATTAATCAACGATCCCAAGCTGTACGTTATGTTCCATTCCTATAAACGTATAATGCAAAGTGAATTCACTAGTCGCTGAAAAATATTGCAAAGTTCTATGACTATCGAACGTTGTTAAAACGCCACGCAAATCTGTTAATTATATTTAGAACATAAAAAACTCGTTTATTTTTCTGAGCATTGAGAAAAGGGACAAAACTTCATTAAGAATTTGGTACATTTTTATGACAAATTAAGTTAAATCCGATCTGATTTTCACGATTTCCGTGTGTAAAATGTCACTCGTATTATGTATAATCTGTTATTCCTTAGCACTGTAAATATATTCAACAAACATTAGTATTGTTCTTGTAGAAAAAAAGTTCTGAATGGATGTACGTAACGGCATAGAACGTTCTTTAGGCTGTCTTTGCTCGAATTGCAGCTCGTTTGCCAGTAACAGCCTGAAATAAAAAAACAGCCGTGTTAATATTCGATATGAATAACATTTTTCTAATGAACAATTGTGTAATGTGAAACATTGAATGTAGCAAAATGTAATTAGTATTGACCTGGAAACCGGATTTGATGCTAGCAACGGAACATCGAGAACCGCACGTTTCACACTGTAGAAAGAACAGTCGCGTATCCTTTTGAAGAATCGTGTCAGGAGAACGACACGTGTGACACGTAACGTATTCCTTAATATATCTCCTCAAAACATTCTCGATTTGCTTTTGTTGGAAGCGACCTTTAATAATTAGCTGGCTATTACCGTCTACTGATCCACTAGTTCCCAACTCAGCAAGTAAAAAGTCCAACAGATGCTTTGCTTGCCTATGAAGAGTTCTGCAAATCTAGAATGCATATGAATGTAACGAATACAGTGTCATACTAACACACTCGAAAGCATTACTTCATATTAAAATCAGACAATAAAAATGTTCGACACCATACCTCAGTAAAATTAGCAAAGGAAGTCTTTTTTGTTCCAATGCGTACTACTTGAGGTGGACGCATTACAAACTTCTGCTTTTTACCAGCCACCATATCAGGATTTTTCTCTCGCATAATGTTGAACACTCTTACGAGTAACTCGTCGTAAGTATAATCCCTGTCGGAACCAACCCATAAACTTGTTTCCTCTTCTGAAAAAATAATGCACGGCACTTCATTTTTGCACTAGATAAAAGGCGTGTTAGTATCATAAAGATTGAGTTGATAAAAGTGTGAAATAGAGACCAGACGAAGCTAATATCATGGTACTGTAATAATGGTATTTTGATTATAATAAGTACGATCGACAGAATTGTAACAATGTACATCCTTTAAATGCATTCCACGAGGGCCATTAATCGCCCACGGATGGTATACGACGGCGTACTCATCTTTTGTTTTGGCTCCAAATGTGTTAATTTTATCAAAATTATGTAGAAGCTTTGTACATACCGTTTTCCTTATCTTCCGTCTCTTTCCTTTCTTCCTCGGCAACCAATTCGTCTAGGTCCTTTTTCTTCTTTTTCTTCTTCTTGGTCTTAGAGAAGTCCATATCTAGGTCAAAATCATCATCTATTGTTGGTTCTTCAATTTGACTTTCTATGGGCTCCTAAAAAAGATAAGTCAAGGACAAATTTCAGTTAAAATTTTAAAACTACTCGTTAATTGAAACAACATTGAAGAACATTGAGAAATCATTAAAATATTACAATATCATTGTTGAGAATATAAAAGCAGTGATCAAACTTTAATTAACGAAATTATTAAATTTCATACCTCCTTGTTATCGGTTAATGCAACGTCAAGTTCATCCAAATTAAAAGCCTTCTTCTTCTTCTTTTTCTTTTTACCAAAACTTTCCAGATCCACCGCTTCATCATCTTCTCCAATGGGTGGCTCTATATCCTGGTTTTCTTTCTCCAATGACGGTTCTATTGTTTCACCTACGCTACCTCCTTCCACGAGTGCCGAATCGAGATCAAAAGTTGTTTTCTTCTTTTTCTTCTTCTTTTTTAATGTAGGATCAAAAATCTGAAAACAAGAAAATCTATATACATTCTTATTTTCGTTGGAATCGATACTTCCCTGCAGCTGTCGCTGTACATTAACTATAAAAGCAAATGCAGTTTGAAACTCAAAGTTATAGTATGTTTGTTGGGTAAATTAAATGATGTAATTGTTATTTCTGTCTAGAGTCGAAGTGGAATATAATAAAGTGGGAATAGCAATATGTACCCAATATTGCCTCATTATTCTTAATGTCGGAATCTTAAACATTGTATACATCTATCGCGTTCATACTACATCCAACAATAAAAGTTCAATAAACACTTAGTGATTCCATGGGAAATGTACACTTATATAATAAATTTGATATATTCACGAGCCGTATGGAGGATAACCTAAACGTGGAGGTAATAATTCCCTGAAAGAAATACGTGAGAACTAGTTATTTGGAGACGTACCGACTCGTCTTCAGCCATTGCAAATAGTCCGTTAGACGTTTATTTGATTAAAAAGAAAATAATTTGAATTATATGTTCAAACAATTCGTGATTCGATCAAGTTTGATCCACTAGCCAGTTCAACCAAGTTTGACCAAGTTCAGCAACGTGAGTCAGAGCAGCGACGAGACACATTCAGAGATGGACTACTGCTCGACCGAAACGGATCTAGCATTACGAGTACGGCCGGAGTCCTACCCTAGGCGTTTATTACGTATTTTTGACGAGCGCACTCACTTCTCGCACTTCCATCTCACGTGGGTTTATTCGCCGAATTACGTATTCGCTATATGAAAGAACGAGATCACTAGCACTTCCGGTCTAGTAATATTGCAAATAAAGGTATATACCTTGTAAATCGAACATTGTTGATAAGTGTGGGTTATAGGCAGGAAAGGCGGGAAGATGGAAAGCCGTTAAAAGTAAAGAGGAGGACTCGAGTCTATTCATATTTTTTTTAAATATGTATTACATTCATATTTACATTTACTTTAATTAGAAGTTCAACAATATAATTTTCTTATCATGCCGTGTAAGCATGAATTATTTCACTGTTTTCAATGTTTCATAAAGTAATATAACCTTGCAATAACAAAAACTAACCTGTACGCTTAGTAAATTCTCTCTCTTCTGACGAAAATAGGTCTAAGGCATCACGTAATTCCTTTCTTCTTCTAATAAGGTTATTATTATCCCCGAATACCATTGTTGCCAAAAATCAAAACTCCCAGGAGGTTTTCCATTTTGAATTTTGATATCACAATCCGTGGAAGACGACGCTTATTTTTCTATCTTTTCTTGTATGCTTCACCATTTTGCTAAAAAATTTGTGCCGGGCCAGTTCATATGAAAGCTCGCATTTTCACCATCAAAATCGTTTCGTAATACCGTGAGCTACTCATTTTTCATATTTTCGCTCAATTTGCTTTACGTAATAGACCCCCCGAATCACGGAATAGTAAATACTAGTAGACGTACCCCATCCGACTGGTTTTGGTTACTCGGTCGGAATTGCGATCTATACCATCCGACGCCACCACGAGGTCCAATGAGTTTCGTATCTAGTGAAAGCATTCTCTACGGTCTTGAGAAAAGACCTTTCTTTTCGGAGTTCTTCCTAGTTCTCCCATTGTACGGCAGAATGGTAAGTTGTATTCAATTTCGACGTGAGAACTCTTTGCAGTAACTTTTTTAACGCGTTGCGACGTGAAATTAAAATCATTAAAGTAAGTAAAAAAAGAAGGGAGGTGACCGGTGGACGTTCTTCAAGAGAATACGTTCTCGTTTATCTGGTCGCAACGTGTCGTCACGGCGTGGGCTCGATACCATGACCATGCCTCGGATGAAGCATATCGAAGGCGAAGTAACGCCCATAGGTGGTGAACATACGGGCAAAATTACTTAACAAGATTCAATAGAGTGGAACAATTGTTCAGATACTTCTCAAAGATTAAAATGGACCTTATACGCGCAAAGTGGCCATTTTACTTCCATTATCATGCCTACTTAAATATGTCTACTTAAGCCAAGGAAGTCGTACAAAATGTGTATGCTTCCTGTAAAACGTATTGTCGATAATTTAAACGAATTTGTGGAATTATATTTTTAACGAGTATTTGTCTTACAGCCTTTCCAAAGGTTTGTGGAAACGGGCCGTGTTGCCTATGTAAGCGACGGACCTTACCAGGGCAAACTTGTCACCATTGTCGACATCATCGATCAAAACAGAGTAAGGCATGATACATTGATACTTTTTTTGTGATTATTAATACAATTAAATTCAACCATAATAAAGTATGTCCTTTATAATATGATGAACCAGGTATTCTTGATAGGAATTGCCGGCTGACCCATAATTGATGCTAAACTATTTTTTCTGAAACTTCAACACAATAGTTGCTTTAAATTTAAAGCAGTTTTGCCTCTTTCAGTAGACATATAACTTTCAGGTTCTAGTCGATGGCCCGACTTCGTTAGTACCTAGAGGTCAAATGAGACTGAATCAACTTCATTTGACTAAATTCCGCTTGCGGTTTCCATTTACTGGAACTACTCGCATAGTTCGAAAAGCTTGGCTAGAGGGTAAAGTTGATGAGTTGTGGAGTCAAACCATGTGGTTCAAGAAAGTCGCAGCAAAGGAAAAGGTAATATTTTAATGTTTGTAAAATGTTTGATAATCCTCTCGTTCCCTATTATTAACTTCATTAATTGCTAAACTGTATTTTGACTTTTAGACCATAGTTTATAGACCGCGTATCTTTTTCTTTTCTAGCGGGTTTCTCTCAGTGACTTTGATCGGTTTAAGATAAGAAAAGCCAAGCAAATTCGAAATAAAATGAGAACCGAAGCATTTCTCAGATTGCGAAAGAAGGCAAGGAAAGCCAAGACATTAAAAACCTCAGAAACTGCAAAAAAGACGGTAAAACAAACTGCAAAGCAGTAAATGTAATATTTTAAATAATAAACTTTTATTGCTTTCAATTGCTTTTTTTTGATCCTGATCTTTTTTAATGATCCCTGTAAGTTCTTATAACTGGGTACTTTAAAGTAAAATGGCACGTAGCATTGGTTTTATACTCCAATAGCTGCTGAAGGAAAATCAGAAGACTTGGGTTATTCCTAGCCTGTATGCATGTATATTCATTACTTTGATTCATTTACTTTGATACACACACATGGTAAAAACAAAATGAATCAGCACATTTACATCTTACATTCCTTTATTTCCATATTCTGAATGGTTTCAAATAAAAGAAAATATCTTTTCAAGTACTTAATATGCACAAGCACAAATCAAACTGCCTTTAGAAAAATTCACCTAAAATTGATAAACGCCGCAAGAATGATTGAGCCGAACAACATAATGAACGGTCATTAGACATTGTTGTATCATAAGCGGAGTACATGTTTTCTCTCCTAATTTTTTCTAGTAATGTTTGAGGTTCGAATTTAATTTTTCTAGGCTGTACAGCATTGTTTAATGGTTGTGACTGATTCTGCAGATTTGAAAATGAGCTTTGTGCCACTACATTCGTAGATGAATTTAAGATATCACCCGCTTCACCATCATCTGCTTTATATATTATGTACGTTAATTTTGGGATCGGTTCATTCTGGTCTTTCGGATTTGTGGTTAAACTAGTATTTAGTTCTGGAATCTCCGCATTATTTGATTCTATACTTTCATTTCTAAATGTTGAAGTGAAAATTTCAGTTGAAGTACGTTTATGTACACTTTCTGCAGCATTATTCTCAGCTTGAGATACGTTGCTCCTTAGTCTCTTATCATCCACCTTTTGATCTTTTGAATTGTCAATGATTTTTAACGATATGTTGCCAAGTGAATCATTTTTCGTTTTATTTTGAAACATTGCAGTCTTTTGCAGTTTGGATGTCTTTGACATAAACAGATTATCCATCCTACGGCAGCAATGTAAAGCCCCAGGATCAATTGGGTGAGCTTCGGTATTAAATATGTATCCTCCTGCATTCACGACGCATTCTCCCCACTGTGTTTGAACGATGTCGCCTTGACATCCTGAATTGTGAATAAAATTATCCGGATCAAAAAGAAGGAAAAGATATTTGGTAGTTTCAGCTAAGAAGAAAGATTCCATTCTGTCACCCTTCCGATGGTCTCTTATGTCACTTATTGTGGCATAACCACAAGTACTTTTCGCGCTGTGCTGAAGACTTCGCAATATATCCACTCCAATTTGCAGCAAGTAAGAATCATTGGTTGCTCTGTAGAGGTACATAACAGATTCGATCAGTTCTGGTCTCAATGGATATCCTTCGCGATTAGCCCCTGCTTCGGATTGTGGAATGTTATAAATTTCTGGCATAAATCCATACTGCTTCCAAACTTTATGATAATTGTGTAAAGTCTTCATCGCATTATCGATTTCTCCAAAAAGACTAAGCAATCCTGGCCAATATGCGTCGAGCGATTGAAAAATGGGTAATGTAACGTGTCCTTTATTCATAGAAACCAAGACGTGCCAATCTTCTTGCCTGGTATATTTTTCAATCGCTTCCTTATGTTGTTGGAACAACGTCATTAATAGTGGATCTTGTAGAAGTAAAGCACCTTTTGCTAGATACTCAAAATAAGAATCTATACCAGCTCCTATACCAGAATCTTGGGCGGTCCAATGGCCCGTTAATACGTCTATATGGTTGCCGACTAATCCAATGTTTGACTTGTGATAATTCAATGCTTTTATAGCATTCATGGCGACCTCTTCGTACAATGGATCTCCTGTTAATCTGGAAAGGGTCCCAAACTCTACGAGAAAGGTTCCAATTCCTGCGGTACACGTTATACTAGTCTCACCATCTGGAATCCCATATTTTAAATTTACAGTTCCATAAGGCATTCCCGTTGGGGTATCGAAAGCAACGAGTAACCTTTTTGCCATATCTTCGGCAAGACGTAACAGAGGTCCATTGCAAGGCCAACCAGGCTCTAGATCTATACCTGCTTTATGCGACAATAAATGTGCACTTAATAATCCCCCGATCACTCTGATGTTCGTTTCGAATACTGATACATTAATATTGGCTTCAAAGTCAGTTCGTGTGCCAATGATATTTACCACTCTGCGAAATTCAGTTAGATTGCCCATAATTATTAATGTATCCAAAGCATCGACTAGAGTCAACGAAAAGCTGCCCCAAGTGTCAAATCCATCGCAACTTAGCGAACGCAGCTCATCGTAAGGATAGGCATATGTCAAATAACTAGTGTAAGCGTGATTAAACATTGCACGTACGTCTTCCCTAAGGGATTCCAAATCCATCTTGTCGTACTTTCGTACACCTTCACTTATTGAATGAATAGTCAGGAAAATGAGGACTCTTTGTATCAACATCTTTAACCTTAGGTTTCACAATCGATAGAATTAAATCTTTTAATTTGCGATATAATACGCCACCATACGATATCTTTCGTCCGTAAAAATTTAATTTATCTTTAACAGATGAATAACGATCGCAGTAGAAGTTATAAAATCGTATTCCTTCGTTCACTGGAGTTGACTTACTTGAATCAAGGGAAACGTAACCTCAAATCGATAATATGCCAACTTGATGCCAACGTATATGCGATAAAATAGGTGCGCAATCGTACGCGGCCATTTTACTATATCATTCTTTAAGCAGTCCTCCAATCAGTGCATACATACATACATGGAATACATTGGAACAATCACTGAAGTACGACGTTCAGTCGATCTCTTAAAGTGATGTAAGTACATACATACGTGCCACGAGGTTAGCACCGTTATTTCGGACTGTATTTTTTCCAACTTTTTACTTGCTACTCATATCACTACATCACTAACAAATTAGTTGATTCGATATATATTTCTTCGTACAAGACGTTAAAAATGGTGTTTTAAAGAGCAGTAGATGATAATTTACTATACTATTGAGACACAAGAATACAGAAACATCGATAAGTAAATCCCAATTTAGACACATATCTTGAAGGCAGTGTCAATTAGAGGGAGAAGTACATTTTCTTACCTTCGTGACGTTTTTGTAACAATCATGGGTTGAAGTGGGTAATCGTTTGGTACATAATCCAGTCAACAATATCATCGCAAATGGAAGTCATGCCAGTTAATCCACTCAGTATCATTCTGGTAAAGAGCGATAGTAAAGGAGACAGAATGCTCTTCCGTTATCCACATGCAGCGAATCACGAACGCGACTCCAGTCAGTTTACTAACAGAAAAAATCCCTACTCTTTACTTACCGGAGATGATTTATTACAGGTACTTTAAACAGATGTTTGCTAAAAAGCAGGTACAATTTAAGGGCCACTTGTACCGCTTTAACTTAGAGAATATAATTAATTTATGTTTTGCTTCAAGAAATTCTGTGTTTCAAACTACTACAAGGATAGAAGTTAGTTCAATTGAAATTCAAGTGAAAACGGTCCATTCAGCCCTAATTCATTGATTTCTTCATATTGTCATGCTGTAGAGTGGAATTTGTTTCAAGTCCGCACCGCTTCAAACATCGAACAGCAATGGAAATCTTCCTGGTTTTTCGGATGATGTCTTATCCACGTTATTTGCCGTTAAACCAGAGTTATGCGAATTGAAATTTGAACTGAAAGTGAACAATGTACGCTTCATTGGGCATCCCACTCTTCTTCAATCTCGAAAATTAAGAGAAATCAATTCATCGATGCTGTTTAGTGTGGTATTTGCTTTAAATTGTCAAACTAGTCACTGTATAGTCAGGTGCTACTACGATTTGAGCAAAAGGTTTTTACTATCCTACTTTACATATCTTTCTTTTCAACATATTTTTAAACATTTAATAATTTCTTTTTTTAGACTGGGCATAGCATTACGACATGAAGAAAAGAGATGCGGTTTTCTGACTGAGGAAATAAAAATGATGGCTTCTACTCATGACGAAGTTGCTGCCAGGTAACCATCTCAGAGTTTTTTTATAGAAATTTTTAGGTAATTATTATGAAAAAAAAAAGGGGGGGGGGAAATTATGTTGTATCACCAGAAGTGTTCATAACACTTTTTAGATCAGAGGAAGAAAGCGATTGCGAAGAGTCTCCATATGAGGTTATACTGCAAAAAAGCTTGCTTGCTCGAGATTTGAAATCTGTGTTTGATAGTTTATGCGCTTCGGGAATGGTCAATGTAACAATAAACAATTGGATTCAAGTAAGCTTTTGCTTTCCACAAAAAGTGCATCATTCTCATAAGAAGGGTTTTATAATGAATCCAAGGATTATTAAAAGGTAAGTCTCATATGCAAAATGAATATAATTTGCAGATTAACAATTTACGATACATATTTTAGGTGCTTAAACAGTTTAAGGCCATACCATGGACTGCTTCTCCTGACAGAACCACTGGAATTGCTTCAGTCGTTGCCAGCAGACTCGGCTCCTTCCCTGAGACGGCTCATTCAAATGTACAATCCTTTGAAAAGTCTGCAGTCATTAGCAGCAGACTCTAATCTAACATTGGCTCATATTTTTGAACTAACTGGACATTTAGTTTATTGGGCTAAAGCTACTATAATTTATCCACTTTGTGAGAGCAATGTTTACGTCATATCTCCAGATGCAGTTGTAACAGCCCAGATGTTGGATGAATTTTCAGAACAGTTTCCTGGACTATGTTTATTGCAGGTAGTTATAAATTGTCTACAAAAGCAATTAGAATACTAACTGTACTGAGTCAATTGTAAAGGAGCTTATCGGTAGAACATTTACTCGTTTGATAGTTAGGTGAAGTGTTTTTAATTATTATAGGTCCTGAGTGAATTTTCTTTACCAACATCAATTAGTCACAAATTGAATCCTTTGAATCTACCTCAACAACAATCACAGTTGGTAAAGATAATAATGTGGTTACTCAAGAATCATTTTTTAATACAGTTACATACTTATATACAGTATATGCCCACGGATTATGGACAATCATCTTTGGTAAATAATTGAATCAATTAGATATATTTTAATTCCGTTTTATTTCTTTTCCTAAATTATTTAAGACTTATTTAAGAAACAAGCACAAATCGTTTATCTGCTGAATATTGCTTACCTTTAAGGAAAGTAATTACCAAGTTACGGAAAATCCAACTACTTTAGAGGAAAGTGATGGCATATGGAATCTCATTGATACCTCTAGACGAATGCCAATGAGTTTTAAGTCAGAAGTAACGGTACCATCTCACGAACAGGAAAATTTCTTCAAGTATCAAGTAGATAATTTTACAGTGCCAACCGATGACATGATATTGATGGACAAGCTTTGCAGATTAGGATATTTTGACGGTAGCCACCATTTGGAAGAAATCATGTATTTAGAGAACATTCGAAGATCCCAATTATTACAAATACTGGACAAGTTTCGTGATGTATTGATTACGTGTGAAAGCGAAGATCCAGCTATTGCGTTGTTTCATTCTCGTGTAGGTTCCGAATGATTTGCATATACTGCAAAATAATGTATCTACATCTGTCACACAATCAAAGTTATGGACAATTCTAACCTCTAGGAGTGATGTTTGGAACTGGTTCCCATTTTCTATTTATTTTTCTAAATAAACAGTTGCTCTCTACGATACTTTCTGTTAATTATTGCAAAATATTACATGCAATGTTCGATATATTATGGCATAATTATTAATACGTCAGAGCCTGTGAACGTGGGGAGGGTCGGGTGAGGTCAGGAGCAATCAGGAGGTTATTATATAGCTTTAACCATGGTGAAAATATAGAACAGAGATGAGTTGGGAGATCGCTCACGGGCAGGATCGTGCGATCGCATCCTGTGCTGCCCTCTGGTTTCGTACGTTAGCTTTCACCGTTTTTTGCCCCCAACGGTGGCGCAACGAATTTCGAGTATGGTGGAAGTTTCGGCTTGTGACCTGGCAACTACGAGTCGCGAAATCTGAATTACTTCCACTCTTTGACCCTCTGTGCTCTTCAGAGGAACCTACCAACAACCTACGCAAGAATCAGCCATAACGTACCAACTCATCTCTGTAACGTATCGATTAATGGTGGTTCTACCATTGGAATCTACTCATTGATCAGTTGAGGCGTTTGCTAAAGTCTACGGTCGACAGTAACGCGAGAATTAGCGAAGAAGGAAAATGGCTGGAATATCGTCGACCGTTTATAACGCTTTATTTAAGAGGACCTCGACTTTTGCCCTCACAATCTTAGTTGGTAGTTTCTTCTTTGAACGAGCATTCGATCTAGTGTCGACAAGTATTTTCGAAAGTGTTAACAAAGGAGTAAGTCTCTTATGTAAGATTTTCTCAAATGAATTTCCTTTCTTAATTCCTGAATACATATGGGTAACTCATGCTTTTCTAATGGCTATCCATTTTAGATTACAGTTACATATTACGTATAATCGATATAAATTGATCCTTCATTTCTAAAACTAGTAACGTATTTTAATTTTCCCACGTTCTTTTATGTTGCAGAAATTATGGAAAGACATAAAGCACAAGTACGAGAAATAATAGCTCGTGGATACTTTTAAGTTTGAACATGTAAGATAATAGATGGAAAACGAGCAGTCTGGTACTTTGTGTAGATGAATAAATTTACAGAAACAAAAATATCGCGTCATGGTTCTTAGATTCAATTTTAAACTATCATTTCGGTCCTTAAACTGCTTTCACAAATGTAAATAATAGAAATGTTTACTTGTAATTTTAACTTAATCATTTTATTTGATAGCTCACGCACGGATCAACAGACAAATACGATATATAACAAATTATGCTAAAAACTTTCTTTACATGAACATCTAAAGTAGTAGTATAACATTATTTGTCTTGTTTTCTTAGTAAGCTTCTTTCTTGGACATTGTTATACGAGCACAAGTTTCTTTATGGCTATTCCAATCCTTCACTTGGCAGTTTCTGTTCATAATAATAATTATTATTCAGTGAAAGTAATAGCAGGATTTTATGTAGAACAAATCATTCTCTTTTTACCTTGTACAATACCATGCTTCTTTGCATTGGGAGCATCGTTTTCTTGCAATATTTTTACATTGAAAACATTTTCTTTCCTCTGGAGGAATCATTACATCAAAGTCATAAGCATTATTCAAAATTTTAGCAATGTTTCTAACTTCTTCGGCATTGTTGATGTATAGCAACTTCGATTGATGTGTAGCTAATCTCCTCCATTGTTTTTTATATGTCTTCAAAATCGATGACCTTATCTAAAAAATTCATAGCGTTTAATACTTTAAGAGATGTCCTTAGGTGTGTTCTTTGTAAACAATGTCATGATCAAACTTCAAAAACGTCATTAATTAAGGGAGTAAAAAGTTACTTGTGGTAGTTGTTCAACAAGCACTGGCTTCTGTACATTTGACGACACATTTGATACACTTAACCGAGCGAGCCATTGACGAAATTCTAGCAGCGGTGCAATTTGGTCCAAGGTTTCTTCGTGCAAATATTTCTGCAACTACAAAGAAAAGGTATTTAACATATCATGATGATTGCTTTCTTGCCAAAGAATCAATCAAACGTTACGAAGGCGATACCCCAAGTCAAGAGTGGTTGAACGAATTAGTAAAAAAATATATTTACTCACTTCTAACAACCGTGAAAACCTGTACTCATTGATGTCATAATATGTCGCACTTTTAGGGTTAAGAAGAAGCTCTCGTAGTCCAATCCAAACTTGTCCTTCCATTTTACACATTTTCTTCCCCTCTTCGGGTGTCACGGTATTCCACCTTCCATTGAATACCAATGTATTTCCTAAAAATGGTGAAACATAACGAAAATTGATGTCTTGATATGTGGTATGTATCAAGACGTAAATTTCTACCGGATTCATCCTGCCTTTTCCAGGGATGCCTTTTCACCAGTTCGATCAATAGAGATGGAACATCGTGTACTATCAGCATTCTCGAAAGTGCACACAATGGCAGATTGTCTGTATATTCCGATAAGTAACGCAAAATTGACACACATCTCATACAAATGTCAAAATCAAGCTCAGACCTTTTCTGTGTCAATTCCATTAAACAGGGAGTACTAAATAAAAAGCATATAAATTTTAATAGCATAAAACCAACTTTGATGCACATTAAATGGAAAGCTGCAACAACGAATGTAATTAATGTACTCTAAATTTGAAATTGATGGGTCTATACAAGATCACAGAGCAGTCCATTAAAAAAATTTATGAAATTTCTAAAATCTACAACCCTGAATTAAAGAATACATATTTTATTGTTCAAAACTTGACACACATTTTGTTACGTACGCATGAACAGCAGCGCTATAGTGTAGTTAGATAATAAATAAGACATACTTGAACTCTGTTATATCCCCATTGTGGTCTTCCAAGGTAGAATGCAGAAATGTAATAACATTGTGCACTGCATAATCAATGAGATCCAGAACAGATTCTTGAATTGCTTCAGCACCTTCTACATGGTAAAGAATATTTTCTAGCAGAGAAACAGCTATTTGTTCATGGTAAAACACACTGTACAATATGAATGTATTAGATGGTTCCCCATTAATTTCAATTAAAAGTGGAAAGATGTTCTGCTTCCAGATATCAATTTCAATTACATTCTGAACCAAAAGGTGTGCCTAAAAATTGAATAAATATTGTGATCAAAAGAAAATGTCATCCATATATACAATCATTGAAAGAAAAGGACATTACTTTATGTAAATTGATAAACCACTCTTTCACATACTCCTCCTGACTAGTATGAATTTCGGTAATACTTTGCTGATTCAAAAGTATCAATTTTTTGTGCAACTCAAACCAACTGAAACCAATTATTTATTTACAATGTTACTTTAGATTAATGGTTCATTTTTATTAAAGGCTCTAAGATGAAAATATGCCGCTGTTACCATTTTGTGCCAATATCGGATAGATCGATGTCTTTCAAACTTTCAACGAATGATTGAATTTCCCAATGCGACAATACGGTCCCTCTGTTCATTTTTATCTTCTATCTTTTTGAGGAAATAAATGTTCGTATTACATACGCGCCAGCAGCCATTTGTAAACAACTTTTCAGTTAACAGATTTACACATTTTACATTATACCGGTTTTATGACTACTAGCGATGAGCGTCGTATAAACACCATTTTACGCCGGAATTATCGGTAAAACCGGAGAAAAACAGCGTTTGCGCGCTTATCACTAGTGGTTATAACCAGAGATGAGTTGGTTATAACATCGGTAATTATAAAACCGACATAAGGCAACTGGTGTAAATGTACTCAGTTATCGATACCAGAGATGAGTCGATATCAAGGACAAGTTCCATAATTCGAGTTAACCATAGTTTAATTGGTTTACATTTGGTTTAAACATCCTGTAGACGAGTTAAACTTCGGTTAACTTGAGTTATGGAACAGGGCCTTAGTAAAGTAAGTAACTACTCAAGGTTGCCACTGCACTAGAGACTGTTACTATCCTCTGAATCGCGACGGTGGCAACACTGTACAACTAACTCATCTCTTCTGGTTGCTTCTGGAAAAATGACTGGTAGTGATCAAGAATGCACATATAAGTCTAAAAGGTTAAATTGTGGTACTGAGGCCATGCACTTGGGCCGAAAGCCGTCGTACGAAAGGCGAAGTCTGAAAAGTTGAACGAAGAAAGTCGCATTGCGCATAAATCCATTGGTATTGAACCTTTAGAAAAAGGCCGAAATCCATAAAGATGCAGATACAGAAACAGTCAGCACGTGTATAAATAAATAAATAAATAAATATATACAGACGTTCTTCGAGAAAAGTGTAATTTTATAAATTGAATTATCCAATTAAGAAACAAAGCGGAGGAAACGTGGTACTGGGCTCAAATCATTGGGCCGAAATCCAACATACGAAAGAAGAAGAATAAAAGGTTACAGAGATAAAAGGTGATATCCTAAACGATGTGTGAGTGCTCTTTTGCAAGAATGCAATGTCACTGTGCACCTTGCTATTTCATTTAAAACTGATAGATTTTCTACTCAGACTTCCTGCTTAATTTCCCTTTCCGTTGTAGAGGACCACCTACGATGCAAACACCTATTAATCTCATTGCATTAAGAGAACAAATACACGAAAATTGAGATGTCCTGCCAAATTCTAGAGATCGCTCGGATAACCAATCTTCATGAAGTGAAGAAATTACTTGGAAGTTCCTTGAATAGAGGTAATTATCTAATGAAAGTGCTTCAAGTCTCCTTCTATGAATATGTATTTCATAAATGTTACATGTTACTCAGTTGACACTGTATCGAAGGATGAATTACCCCTTCAAGACGTTTTGGTTTCATTGTCGTCTGCTCGAGATATTTTGGTTATAGCATTGAATACCAAGATAATTATTCTAGCATGTAAGTATACTCAAATCTTTTTTTGCATCTGTATCACTTAATGTATAATTTGAATCGATCATTCAAAGTTAAAGAAAAAAACTATTCATGAATTGCAGTCCTTGTTTATCTCCTTTAATCTGTTTCAGCAAAATGGAATTTACTAGGTCACAATGATGCAAATAATGAATTTTGTATTATTTGGAGCGATGAAATAGCAATGGAACCAAAGTATGTATTCTACTTTAACGGTATAAGAAAGTTCAATACAATTTTCTATCTTTTTCAGTGAATGGATCACGTCCATATCTTGTTTCCCAATTACAATTCTAGAAAAAAGTAGTGCACGTGGTGAAGTCGACTGGACCTGCGTATGTGTGGGTTTCTCTACTGGCTTTATAAAATTTTACACCGAGGTAAGTTTATCACGAAAAAATGAAATCGCCGTCATATTATTTCATGCTAATTGCCATTTGAATATTTGATTAGGACGGTGTGTTCTTAATGAAAGAATTGTTCCATGATGAACCGGTCCTGGCAATAAAGTGTCAATCGCGACACGCACCTAAATATACCGGTGATGTGGAATGTACCGAAGAAGTGCACGTGCTATATGGCAGTACAATATGCATTTTGCAAGGGTTTTCATTATTTTCGGTGCTGCGAGCCCTTAAGTGTCATTTGCAAAGAGGTATGATAATTGCTTAAATTTGAACGATTAACGTATCGACGCACGCGCGGAACTTTAATGAAAGAATACCAGGCTATAAAGGATTTTACTGTTTACCATAAGTAGCTCGGTTAAGCGGTACCGAAGAACCACCTGCAGTGAATTTGGTATTACAAAAATGGGGTTTCAAAAATCAAGATGTCACGAATGACTCAAAAATTATTGGTGCAACGACATTCAACTTATTTGACCACTTAATGACTGCTTCTATTAGTGGTGGTTATAACGCTTTATATCGTTCGAGTGCTTTCCAATACAACTTGATCGTTGCAACCGGCAAAAGACCTTTCATTGGATTTCACTATACTACAGAGAAAGGTTTTACTCCCGTTCTTTCTAACATTGCTGCATCAATGGCCAGTAAACTTGTAACTACAATAGGAACGGCTGTTCCGTAAGTATACGTTATGTTAATCTGAAAACGAGGTCGATTGGGCTCGATGAATGTGATTTTAATACCAATGCTTTACGTCGAATTCTCGTCATGTTCAAATCAGGGTTCTTAATTCTATGTGGTTTCGAGGCACCTCCAAAGCTGTCACGTCCCTGATGAAAGGAAATTCTGTAGCAAAAGAGGCGATAGAACGAATGACGTGCAGGTTTGGTTTAAGCGATGCCGTTAGAGAAGGCCTTTGCATAGTGGCCGCGCCCGTTAGAACTTTCTGCGTCGTGTCGGATACGATGGGTAGGGTGATATTAGTAGATACCAAACGTGGGCTTGCATTAAGAATGTGGAAAGGATATCGAAATGCACAGTGCGGTTGGACAGAATCGATCGAAGAAAGGCAGAGTTCTACACAAGGTAGTCAGTTGCGAACGACTTTATTTCTAGTCGTCTATGCCCCGAAGAAAGGAATTATTGATATTTGGAGTGTTCAACAGGATTTAAAAATTGCTACGTTCTCAGCCAGCAAACATGGCCGGTATGTATTATCCTTTTTTTTCTCTCCTTGTTTCTGCGATATGTCATTGCGGGCCATTTTTTCACCTAAAACGATTCCAGATTACTGTACATAGATTCGGGTTTATTTGGTCTGAACGATCGCCCATCGATATCTGAAAAACGATCGAGATGTTCCTGCATATTTATTGATCCCACGGGATATCTAAAGGAGATCACTGTACCCTTTCATTCGGTCCTCAACGAGAAGCATGGGCATAAAGCTCACGATTTGCATCTGTTAAAGAAATTGAAGCGAGTTATAAACAGGGACGAACTCGACGATGAAAAATTACAATCGGAAGTTGTCGATACGTGTGCACGCTTGAAGTCAATCGAATCGATGCTCCGAACTATTAAAGCATTAATGACGAGCAGGCACGTCACACCTTCCGTTCTACTTGCAGCGAGTCGCCATTTCGTCGACAAGTTCAAACAACGTGGTAATATCTTGGGTGCATAATCCGTGTTTACGGTACAATGTAAATTGAAATTTTTCTTCTACCCCTCGACCCCGTTTCAGATCCGGAGACGTTCGACCCAATGACAAAGTCACTTTTCCAACTATCGACACAGCTCCAACGTGCGACCGAATTCTACATTTTTACCCGCTCCCAATTCGAGCGCACTTCGAGCCCAATCTCGGGCGAGAGGCGGCTGTTCGAGCTGCTACTAGTCTCCGAGGAAGAGCTGCAAAGGATCTTGTCACTGCTCGAGATGTCTGCCGATACGGGAAACGTGACAGTTTCCAACAGAGTCACGTTCAAAGAAGACAGGAAGACATTTGCATACTTCTTGTCGTCTTTTCAAATCGGTACACCAACTTTTGTAGATTTCGAGAAGGACGAGTTCTCCGACAAGCTTCCTATCGTTTGTAGGTATTTTGAATGCGAACGTTCCGCCGAGCAATTTACAAAGGACTGACATTTCGTTTCCAGCCGAATTGGTGTATCGCAATTGGATGGACTCAACGGAGCCGGTAAACACCTGGCACGATGCCGCGGCACAAAGTGGCATTCGGCCACAAACGTTACTACGATTTGCTTTGATTTACTGGTTAAACCGAACGTATACGGCATCGTTGGCCGTGGAGTTGAAACGTTTCATTCATCTGATACATTCTATTTGTTCAATAGCGGGTACGTCATTGTTACATCATTTATTATACTCGATGGGTGATTCCTAGAGGGAAGCTTGCTTCGATGACTAAAGATTTCTTATGCTCGTCAAAGGCACGGATGAAGTGTGCGCTAAAGATAACGAGGTCTCTACATGGTGGCACGAGGTACGAGGAATGTTGACGGAATGTTCGAAACCATTCAATTCTTTAACTGCGGCCATGGCGTGCCGTGCAGTTTCGATCACGTTGGAAAAGAAGAGGGATCTGTTTGATCAGAGTAAACGAATGGAAAGCCATGGTGTCGAGACAATGGGATTACCCGACACCAGCGAACCGGAGGGTTTGGAGAAGCAGAAATATACAGAAAAAGAGTCATCGTCGAACGATGCACTCAATACAATGTGCAATTTAAAAAGCGACTGGGAAACCGTGAGTAAAGATGGCTGCCAATTCACCGTGCTAATTAGTCATTTGGAAGACTTGACTATATTGGACTACGTAGTAAGGTCAGTTAGTTCGAGAAACACGTTTCTCAGTTTTCCACGAATTGTGTCCGTGAATTCCGTGTAATTGTTTCCGTTAACTCTAGTCGGCAACCACCGCGAGACCATACCGGAAACTTTCTCTCGTTACGTTACGAGAAGGAAAATGTATCTTTAAGGCTTTTGCTCTCCGGAGGGAAAGGTACTTATTCAATTACTTGAATTTAACGTGCAGAAGCGACATTGCCAACCATCCTGATGCAATTTTCGATACTAGGTTCCGTATCGGAAATCGTTGCCAGGTGGCTCGCATCCACGGGATTGCATCCGACGTGCCTAATCGATTCGGAAGGCCCCGAGATCGATCGAGACCATTCTTTGGAAAGTTCATTAAACGTGACTGTCTTGTCACCCCAGACCGCCGCCGTTCGGGGATTCCAAGACGAGCGGATTAAACTCTTTCCGCTGACAAAGGACATCGGTGCAAAAGCAAACGTCGACGTTTCGACTAATGCCGAAACGATGGGTAATGGTTTTAAGAAACAGTCGAATACAGAGTTCTACGATCAGTGTCGCTAATTAATTGCTTCCGACTTTTCAGGTAAAATTGCCTTACTGAAGCTACATTTCCCATATAGCCTGGCAAGTGACGTGCTTCTGGCTAATTTATGTTGGCGATTTGTGACAACATGGATCGAGAATCCAACACGGTTAAAAGTCCTTGATGCGGCATTAACCGTTCTACGACATATACCTACGAAAATCATGCAACAAGGTAGGACGTGTAAGTTAGAACCGGTCTATTGTTATTCTTCAGGACGTGATATTTTACTAGGGTGGTTTGCCAATTATTGTAGGATTGTGCTGTCTCCTATGGACGCTACATTTAAAGAAAATGATCAAGGCAGCTTCTAAGCTTATGAATAAATTAGGAAAGTTACCAAATGAGAGGCTGTGCATGCAAACAATAGGACTGTCCGACATGCAGCTGACAATGTTTCTTCAACATTGCGTGACGTTTCTTGACATCTTCTTAGACGTAACCAACTTTACTTATAATATGTAAGATGTCCCAGGATCCGTTCATTCGTTCCTCTAAGAGTATTTCGTTTACTTGACCAGGCAACGGTGCTTGACGGGGAGAACAACGTAACCGTGAAATTTGAGGATTTGTGGGAATCTTCTCAATCGGGCCCAAAACCCCTCGTCGAGCTTATTACAATGCAAACCCCTGTCTCGTACGATCTAGTTTTGTTACATTTCCAACTAGTCAGTACCCTTCACATGATGGCATACTTTAACATAAAAGTGCAAAAACCGCTGGACAATTTATTCCAATCAACGGTTAGTATATCTCTAGCAAAACTCGCATATTCACTCCCTATCGACTTACTTTAGTCTTTTATCTTTTAGTCACGTCCGTACTTCTTTCAAGACATGACCAGTGGAACCATATTCACCTGGTATCATGACAATAAACAAGATGCTTTCCGCATGGAGTTCCTCCATCATGTAATCACAGCATCCACGAATTTTATCCATCGAGAAGCAGAGTACGAAAGTAGTTTTGGTACTTCACAGGTGGTCTTTTGGATGAGCAAGTGCCACACATTGGCATCTATTTGGAAAATTAATACTGACGAGTTAAGGGTACATCAGGTACAGCAGTTGTACGCCAATGGATTTGACAGGCTGGCTGAAGAGGTATGATTTTTCAGGTGTCTGAAAAATACGTGTTATTGTACGATATGTACGACATATCGTGTCTTAAATACGTGTCATTGTTCATCAAGGTCTGATATTTACTTCCCATTAATCTGCTTAAGGCTGTGACAGCTGTGAATAACACCCAAAAGCTCGCCGATGTGCTGCTCCCTATTGCTGGGAAACGCATTAAAGCATATCTATCTAAGACTCTCGATATTCTGAATAAAGTTTCACGGGTAAATCCAGCGCTAACAAAGTATCTAGACAGTTTGGTAAGTGCAGTCATTATGATGCCATTATTGGTAACGTACATTGGCTAGGAACTATAACGGTTACGGTGACACAAAGCAAATCACATTAATCGTATGCTTTCAGGATTCATTCGAGGGATCCCTGACTGACTATTCCGATAACGATACAATAGAACTCGTTCGTCTGATATCAAGATTTGTAGACGAAACAGATCCCAACTATCGCCTTGCCCAATTATTACTAGATGCTACGCTTATCTATGAAGAAAAGTTGTAATTTCAGAACCTTTGACAATTGAAATTCAGTAATTCCTGGTAAATCTCCGTTACGACACGGACACCCAATGCAACGTCGTTTCGAACGGGTCCACATAAAAGGAAAAATGTAATAAACAACAAGACTATAACTGGTCTATGTTGAAGGTTGCATGTACGTATGTACGTATGTACATGTATACAGTGCCGATGAAGTTAGAATATTTCTGAGTGGATAGCAATTCTAATATATTCTAGTCTGGTAAACATTCTTTGCGGATACGCGAAAGGAAGAAAGTATCATTGGCAATTTGAAAAATGTAAAATGAAATTTTATAAATTTAATTACAGCACGGTTACTTTGTTTTTGGCAATCGCGTAGTTTACACGGACCAAATCGGTGACGACTCAAATTGAGTATATTTACACCAGCTACCTTATACTGCTTTTATAACTGCAGATATTAAATGCCGCATAAATACCGTTCTACTCTGACTTTACTGGTAAAACCAGCTTAACGCACCGCCACTCAGAGGTATCAGGTGGTATGTACATATGTTAGCTGCCCGCATCAATCGCCAGGGGGCAGCACAGGACGCGATTGCGCGACCCTCCCCGTGAACAATCTGGAGCAATCTCCCAACTCATCTCTGGTAATCATGGATGCGCTGACGGTCCGCACTTTAAGCTCATCCGAGTCATCTCTGCTTTATGCAACACCCGATTCGCTCAGCAGCAAGGCAACCCAATTATAAAAAAAAAAGCGGCGGCAGTAGCGCCCTCGCGATAATTGTACGAATTACAATGACATTGCGGTTTAAATTCGTCGGTAAATACGTTGGTATCGATGGGTAACTTCGTTCTGTCGTATCGGTATTTTCATAATGCATTAACTGAAGAGAGAGACGGAGAGGGAAAATACATAATGCCAGCAGATTAGCCAGCGAAATGAATTTAAGGTCTTAGGCTACGCAAATAACATTATTCCCTTTCTCCGAACTCTTGGAAGAACGTATACGATGAAAGCAGTTGTGGAGAATCGCACGGAAACATCATGACGGATCATCTGGAGCCTTTTGAGCATTACGCGAGGAATTATCGGGTGGTCTCGGCGTTTAAGAACGAGCACACTCGAGAAGAGGAGAAAACGGAATCCACGGTAGTTGGTCCCCCTTGCGTAAGCCCACTTTTCGTCACCCCATTGTTCCGTTAAAACGAAGTATTGGTGTAACATTGAGACTTCCGGTAGGTCCCGCGCTGGACACGCAAAAAACGGAAACAAGACGATTTCCGTAGGGAAGCGCGGATTAAACAGAGTCGCAAGCGGTGTTTGCCAGTGTTTGCGCACTCCCGACCACCGGAATGTGATCACGAAACGAATTCGAGGGTAGCCGGAAGCCAAGTTGACGCTAGGAAAACGCGGGACCGGTCGGCGCCGGTCGGCGCCGATCATGACCCGAGAGCAAGCGGAAGGAGTGAGCGCAAGCACCGGCACAAAGGAGGAGGACGAGGCGGAGGAGGAGGAGGAGGAGGTGGAGGTGGAGGTCGAGCGAAGGGCTGCGAAGGGACGCGGGGGAAGAGGGTCGGGGTCCGGGCCGCGCGCGGGTGGCGCGGCGGAGGGGGAAGGGGGCCCGCGCCTCGGGTAAGGAGGGGGAAGCGAGACCGCGAGGCACCGCGGCCGCGAGAGGGAGACGGAGAGAGAGAGAGAGAGGTAAGAAAGCAGCTTCTCTGGCAGTATCCACGTGTTCAGTGCAGTAGCGCGTTATGACCCGGATGTTAGATAGTAACTGCAGTTTCGCGAGAACCAGCATTCCCGGATGTCCGATTTAACTCGCGCAACTGTTGGCCGCGGTCGCCGATAGACCACCGAGCGTCGTAACATGTTCAATCGGTAAGTTGGTCGCGGGTCGGTCAGGGGTTGAGCGGGGTTGAGTGCGCCGCTCGTGGGACCGACCGGGTCGGGCCTTCCCGGGCCTTCCCGGGCCTTCCCGGGCCTCCCGAGTTCGGAAGGAACCGGACAAGACGCGGCGCGGAATCGGGAGGGTCGCACGAGTGGCAAGCTCGACGCCGGGTAAGGGGGGGGCGGTTCGGAGCCGCCCTCGAGAACGCCGGAGGACTCGACGTTTTCACGACCCGTTGATATTCCTCAAGGATAGATGCCAGTAAATCGACGAAAGGTGCGAGTAAACTGCGAAGAGACTTGATCAATGCAGAAATCGCCAACCTTCGGGATCTTTTGCCGCTGCCGCCCTCGACCAGACAAAGACTCTCGCAGCTTCAGCTTATGGCTCTGGTTTGCGTCTTCCTGAGGAAAGCCAACTACTTCCAACAAGGTGAGCAACCGCTCGAACGATCCCTCCGTAGCACTTGCGCTCTCGTAAAGTGATGCCGATCTTGGCATTCGGGCAGGTAAGTAAGTAGATCGATAGGCGCGACTTTTCGATAGCGACGATCGACCGTTACTTTTCTCCTTGCAGCATTGAAAAGCAGCTCGTTGGACTCGGCGTACACCCCGATGCCCAACATAGGCTTTTCCAAGGTTAGCCCCTGATTTTTCACTTTTTGACCGACGATTGCACGTCGTTTGTGGGACCGGGCCAAAATACAAATCGTTACCGCTCGAAGGATCATTCCGATGGAATTCTTTTCCAGGCCATGTCCGGATTTATAATGATGATGACCCAGCATGGGAAGCTGCTGTACATCTCGGAGAACGCCGCGGAGTACCTTGGCCACTCCATGGTAAATCGGCCCACGAGGAGCCACGACTCGGCTCCGTTTTGCCAGCTTTCGATTTTAACCCCGTTCGTTCGCGCTTTGCAGGAGGATCTTTTGATTCACGGCGACAGCGTGTACGACGTCATCGACAAAGAAGATCACGCGGTCGTACAGAATCAGTTGTCCAGAAGCAGTCTCGTGCAGAGCGATCGGCGACTGTTTCTCTGCCGAATCAACGTGTCCAGGAACTCTCGACGGCAGCTACGTTTCGGAGACCAGAAGGTGAATAGGGCGGATTGATCTTTCTACCGCGGTAGAAAGGAGGTCCCCCGTGTTTACGACGTATCGATTCTCGGTTGCAGGTCGTTCTCGTCGAAGGCCACTACCTGCCGTTCGTTCCCCTGTGCAATCGCAACGACTCCGTCTTCTTGGCGTCCTGTACGCCGGTGGTCTTGCCGGAGACGAGGGAGAGCATTGTGCAGGGGGCGACCAATATTTTCACGACGATTCATTCGATGGACATGAAATACCTTCACATCGACAAAACGTAAGCGAGAACCCCCGCTCGAGCGTTACGAGGGTATTCGTATTTCGCATTTCATTTCCCCAGGGCCGAATGTTACATGGAGTACAGCCGGTCGGAACTCGTCGGCGTCTCTTGGTACAACCTTTTACACTGGGACTGCATCCGAACGGCTTATTGCAAGCACCAAACGGGTAAGTAGACGAGCTCGCCACTTTGCGGAATGGGTGCTAACGAAATATCCTATTTCTTTGTACGTCAAGTTATACAGTCCGACCAGGAACGATCGTGCACCGCCTTGTTGAAGCTGCAATGTCGCTCGGGGGGATGGTTCTGGGTTCACTGCATCCTGCAGGCTAAGGACACCTCCGAGGAGTGCCAACACCCCATTATCGTGTGCACCAATCAAGTCCTGAGGTACGAAATGCGAGGAGAGATCAGTCGAGCCTCGATCGGTTCTCGTTCGCTCATGTACAGCTTGCATTGGGTTCTGCTGCAGCGAGAGAGAAGCGGAAGTGATGCGCTCGAGCTCGTGGTTCTACCAGTACTCGGTGCAGCCGAAGTACGCCTACGGGGTTTGCGCGGCCGGTCAGAGTCGGGCCGTTTCCTACGGGCACGAGTACAAACGCTACGGCCCTCCGAGTCTAGACGAATCCTCGACCAACTGCCAGACAGCGCCGGCCGACGACTCCCAGCGGCCAAGCGCGCGGCTGTCCCGCGGCGACGCCGAGCCCGTCGACATGTCCATCAACAGCGCGGACCCCGACAACCGGTCGGTCAACCCGCTGAGCCACTTGCTCACCTTTGGATTCAACTATCACAAGTCGCTGAGGACCCTGACCCAGGCCACGCACAGAACCAAGTATCCCCAGCTGCCCGGTCAGCCGTTCGCGGACGAGGTGCCGCACAAGTACGACATCGTCGACCTGGACAAGCGACGCGGCGATTGCCCCGCAGAGGCGGAAGAGGCGGGAGAGGCGGAAGAGGCGGAAGAGGCGGAAGAGGCGGAAGAGTCGTGTCCGCAGAGAAGGGTCCCGCCGTTGAAACAGGCGGTCTCCGTCGAGCAGTGGAGCACCGGCGCCGTCTGGTCGGACGGCTTGCACAGGATCCCGGACGCGACGTCGGCACCGGACTCGGACCTGCAGACGCTCGTCTTCAACCTGGACTGGACCGCCGGCGAGCAGCACCTTCCCAATCTCAAGATCTCCCTGAGGAACTCGAGCCAGGACTCGAGAACTAGTCAAGAGGTCGAGCCCGTAACGCGGCGCACGAGAGAAAAGTGCGACTCCGAGGACGAGTCCAGCGATCCGTCCAAGTCGGACTGCAGGGAACTCTGCCCTTGAGTCGATGCCGTCCCCTTCCTTTTCGACGCGAGTACTCCTCCGCGGGTATTGAAAGAGCTGTAAATAGTCGATGGCGGATCGCTCCCTCCGTCGCGGACGTCACTCCCCGCGACACTGGAGAACGTCAAATTCGGCCCGAGGTTCTCGTATAGGGAGATGGGCCGGGTCCTTTCCTCTCCTCGGGAAGGATCTCCTAGGGTTCTCCTCGTCTCGCACCTTAGAGGCATTCGAGGGGAATCTAGCTTCAGGTAAAAGGTCTTCGTGACCCTCTTCCTAACGCGCGGGTAGAAGTAGGACGGGGTATTTCGGAGTTAAGCGCGTTACTCGGTGCTCGGGAGGGGTATGCGATCGAGGAAACGTCATTGTGCGCACAAGACTGACTTTTAACCCCTAGCAATTCGCCTTCGGGAGTACCGAAGCACGAGTACTCGGCCAAGAGTACTTTAGCCGAAAAATTGGTTCCGCTAGAGTAGACGCGTCATCATTTTATAATTACGCAGCCAAGCCAAGCGTAAATTACGATGCGAACGGCATAAACTACCCACCTAGCAGTTCCCTCGTCTGCGATGACTGTATTATTAAGCTTAAGAAGGAAAAACGATAGTACAAACCAAGGACTAGAACGGACTAGGGTTCTACCTTGATCCTTTGGAGAAAATTAGACCCCCTTGCGCTCGTTCGATAGTTTCTTTTATCGAAAACCGGTGGAAGCGAATCCCTGAGAAACGATTTCTCAACGGCCGGTTAATATTTATTTCGAGTGCGCTTCCTACCCCGCTGTACGTCATACGCTTAGCGGTCGGTCGGTGTAAGAGAATATACGGATGAATTAGACCCGTGCCCGAGTAGACGGGAGAATTTCATCTTACGTCTAAAGTAGGAAACCGCAAGAGGTTCGAGGCGGAAAGTTACGAGAAACGAGACGAGGGATGTTCCATACTCGAGTACGTCCTATTCATTCTCAAGCTACATCGAATGCATTACCGCTTAAATATTATCGCTATACAAAGGAAGTATTGCATGTTTCTCCGTCAGAGGGAGGTAAATAGATCGAACGGCTAGATGCTTAAGGACGCGAACGGTCCCTCGGTACCCGCCGAATTTAAAGGGTCTCCCAAATTGGCGAGGAACCGTCGCGAGTCACCCGCGACCCTGGACGAGGTCCCGAGTAAAGTCTCTGGCACGCCTCCTTACGATCGATCCAGGAGGCCGCGGCACTTGGACGCCCAACGTCTTCGGCCAGGGTCTCGACCTGGACGCCGAGAGCTAGACGGCCGACTCCGGGTCGCCCGGAGAACCCTTGGACGAGGCTCGGTCGAGCAGCGCGCCGTTTTCCCCGTCCTTGTTGGCGCATCCGTCCGTGCAGAGCGACAACGTCCGTTGCCGCCTGGCTTCCTTCTTCTCGCGTTCGTTCTACGGTGCAAAATCGACCTCGTCACGGCCAGCCGGCAATCGTCGGGGGAGAGAAGGGGCGAAAAGGCAAAATCTCACTTTGAAGAAGAGTCGGAGGTAGCGGCAGGAGAAGTTGATGCAATGGCCCTCCTCCTCCTCGGCATCGATGTAGACGCCCCTGACGAGGATCGAGTTGCTGCAATTGAGCAACACCAGGAAGACGAAGCAGCCCACGTGGGTGATCCAGCAGGAGAGCTCCGGCCGATCGGGGAACAGCCAGAGGTCCAGGCTATTCCAAATGCCCCGCCAAACGTTGACGGTGCCCAGAAAGCTGACGAGAAGGAACGCGTCCGCCGTGATCAGCCGCGGGAGTCCCTCGAGGCGTCCGCAAACGTACTCCATCGCCGGCTGCAGACAGAAGGTCGCCGAGACCAGCGCGTATCCCCCGACCTGAAACGGAAACGCGTAAGACGCGCGAGACTCCGGAGACTCCGGAGACTCCGGAGACTGACGCCGCCCCACTCACCAACGACCCGATGGCCGAGTACTCCCGATTCGTCGGGTACAGGTACATGTCGAACATGATCCACGTCCCTCTCCAGACGAAGACGACGAGGGTTCCGACGACGCCCACGCTGACTGCACAGTCCAGGATGTAGAGGCGCCAGTCCTTCGTGTACTGAAAGGGGAGATTCTCAGCTCATCTTCAGCGACCGGGCCGGCCGAGCAAAGGCGCGACGCCGAGCGAAGGCGGATCGCCGGATTCGCCGGATTTGCATTAATTGCGATTTCTTTATCCGCCGCGCCATCGCCTACGGGGCGAAGACGCGACGGATCGACGGCGGACACCGAGCCAAGCCCGGGGGGGGGACGCGTCCGCCTCCCGGAATGCGGGGAAACTTGTTTGTCCTCGAGTAAACGATACGTTAACAATGGAAGATTGTACGGAACCGACAATTGGCCGACAATTGGTCGTAACGCGACAAAGTAACGCAAGTAGGTACAAGTAGCTACCGGTGGCTCGTCGAAAGTTACCGTCCCGGGCGATTCCCGGGCGATTCCCGGGCGATTCCCGGGCGATTCCCGGGCCGGAACGAGGGGAGACTCACGTCGACCCGGAACATGGTGGGCACCTCGAAGTAGCCGCGATACGAGTCCAGGGTGAGGGCGAAGGGCGGCGCCGAGATGTTGCGCAGGGACCGCACGAGGGCCAGGGCCAGCAGACTGGTCAAGGTCGTGGCGGAGACCGTGGCCGGGGTCAGCTCCGTGTAGAGGTCCAGGGCCTGCCAGGCGCCGCGCCAGGCGTTGACGCAGCACAGCCCGAAGAGCGCCGTGTAGAGCCTCGAGCCCAGGTAGTAGAAGAGCCGATGCTTGTCCGGGTGCAGCAGCTCGGCCAGCAGGTACTGCAGCAGGCTGAAGAGGAACAGCCCGGAGAAACCGACGACGATCGAGGCGGCGCTGCTGAAGACCGGGTTCTCCGGGTAGACGTAGGCGTCGCTCAGGCCCCAGGTGCCGCGCCAGTAGCCGACCACGGCCGGGGCGGCGACGCTCGCCGAGAAGACGGCGTCCAGGACGGCGAGCGCCGCCTCGTGCAGCCGGCCGGCCGAGAGCCGCCGGCGGAGGACGCTCGTCGTCCGCAACTCCACCATCTTCCGCTCGCCGCTACTCATCGTCAGCCGCGAGGACCGCTCCTCCGCCGCGTCTCTCCGGCCGCGGGCCGCTCATCCCGACGGAATCGGCCGCTCGCCTCCTCGCCGAGCGGGTGCCTACTGAGTCTCCTTGGGCCCCGCTATCTCTTATCGAACACCTAGCCCGTCGCGCCCGTCGCGCCCGTCGCGCCCGTCGCTTCCAATGACATCGCCGTTCGCCGTCGCGGAGGACGGACCCCTACTCTCGCTCTCGGCTCTTGCTCTCCGGGCACTCCATTCATCAAACCACGTGCAATCATTCCCCTCGACCAACGTGCGCCCGCCAGCCTCCTCCCTCCCTCCGCCCTCCGGACGACGACGACCACGGCGACGACGACGCTCGCTCCAAGGGCCTGGCCGAATCGGACCGACTACACGCCCTTGACCCGGAAATCTTGAGAAATTGGTCATCGGTGCGCATAGCCGTATCCGCGTCCATTCCCCCGCGCTTCTCGCGGCTCTTCGAATTAAGGCCACCGCACGTGTCTTCGGCTCGCGTCCACCTAGGGAAAGAAAATATCGACCGAATGCAAGATAAGAGGAGACCGCGCCGATAAAACTCCGCTAATTGCGAAACCGTGAAAATTCCCCGGAAGGCGTTCGATACCTTATCGCGTCCCGACGCCTCGTCGAGCCGATCGATTTCGAGAACGATTCTTTGGGAGAGAGTTCGCGCGAGCGGCTCGGCCTTCCTCTTTGCCGGTGGTCGTGGCCAATTTCAGGGAATTAGCTCGACGAGGTAAGCGTTCGATCCATTCGTCCATTCATTCGCTCGCTCCTTCATTCTTCCATCCATCAAGAAGGTCTTTTAGCCGACGCGCCGCGACGTTTCGTGACTTTAAACCACTTCCAAGGTTAAGGAGCGACCTAGCCGCGCCGGAGGGGATCCCGAAATTCGCTCCCGGTGGAAAATCCGACTCTCCTCCGACGCCATTACGTAATTTCTCTCCGATTTAATTGTTTCTCCGGCTATACCCTAGATTCTAGCGGACCATAGTGCGTTTATGTCCTCCCCTATCTGCACTAAACTGCGGCTTCTATAGGCGGGCCACGCGTGAAAGGAAGCCGCAGGAAGCCGCGCGTCCGCTCCGCCCGCCATTTTATATCGGGTTTCGGTCGAACACCTAGCGACTCGCCGAATCACCCGCGAGGTCATTTCCGTCATTTCCGTCATTTCGGGCTGAAACCGAGGCGAATCGATCGAGTACCGATATTCCAGGTTTCCAGGTTGGGGACTGACCAGGGTAGAAATGGCTGGAAATGAGAATCCAAGTTACCGTCCAGGACGATTCACGCCGTTCGTGGCCATCGCTTAATCGAAGGGAGTAGCATTTCAATCGGAATCTGTCGTTTCATCCCGGAAAAATTGGAGCGTGTCAAGTTCCGTGCTTCTCTGTCAAAAAATTGCCATGATTACCTAATTCCGGCGTACTAAATATAGAGTAAGTGCACGGTGGAGATGTAGTAATTGACGTTAATTGAGATGTACAGCAATCGAGAAGAGCCTGCCACAATGACAGGATGAAAGTCTAGCCGATTGACGTAGATCTATAGATTGAACCGCCTCCATGCCGACCATTGTCTGCGAGTCCGGCTGAAATTGAAGAACGTTCACAGGCCGATACCTGCGCGCTCCAGCTGTCGTATTTATCGCAGGATAACGCTGTCGAGGAAGACGATGAACCTGTAGCATCGCCATCGGATCCTGGAGGCGACGATCCGGTGCACGTAGTTCTTGAAATCCTGCCAGACGAGACACGAGTCGTACGCTCCACGCGGGTAAACGGGGGAGTTTATTTCAAAATATACATAATAATCGGCATTTAGTCTTTATGCTCTTTCTTCCATGTAACGAAATATTCGATAATTAACGAATTTGATTGTTAGCGGGTCCGGAGGGAACGTCCAATTATTTAGTTCCGACGTTCCGATTATTTAGCGGGCTCCGTCGAACGACACCTCACGACCCAGGGATGAACCTTGACGTCTTCCAAGGGCAGTCGGCGATCTGGATCGACTACCAGTAACTGGAAAATTGACAGTCAGGAGATAAGGGCATCGGTGATGACGAATGGGTATGTAAATCCTCGAAATAGTTGATATGTATGCAACTTCACCCTGTGTCAAGATATTTCATGTCTTTACTCACCCTAGATATTAAATCACAAGCGTCCGCGCTAACGAAGTCGGGAATCTTGTATTGAGCTTTCTTAATTTTAATATAAGTCTCTTCGTATGTCTTGGCAAAAAAGGGGGGGCTTCCGACCAAACACTCGTAACACAATACTCCAACACCCCATATATCCACCGCGTTATTATGCGTTTTCCCAGTAACCATTTCTGGCGGTAAATAATCCAAAGTACCACAAAGGGTCTCTCTGCGAGAGGAGGGTGCGTGAACGGACCAACCAAAGTCGGCAATCTTCAATTCACCCTTTGATCCGAGAAGTAAGTTCTCTGGCTTAATATCTCGATGAATCACTTTCTTACTGTGGCAATATTGCAAAGCGTCTGCCAATTGGTAAATATAATTAGCAGTTCTGCAAAAATAAGGCATGAATAAACGATAAATGTATCTCGTTAAAAGTATAGCTCAAGATTTTCACAGAACATCTTGAGCTTTGTTGCAAAATTCACTTATTACTTATTATTCTTTAACTTACCTGACTTCATCAAAGCATTTATTTGGTTGATTGCTTAATTCCTTAAACAATTCACCCTTTTGTGCATATTCTAGAATTAGGTATATTCTTGAATCGTCATAGAAATACCCATACATTCGTAAAATATTTGGATGCCTAGAAAGTAATGGTATAAAAACTGTGACACGTGTATAGAAATTGGAAAACAAAAAATAACTAAATTTACCTAAGATGCGTCTGGATCTCAATTTCTCTTCGCACTTGGTGATTTACCCCAGCTTCTTCTATTTGTGATTTGAAAAGTACCTTCATGGCGATAACGTATCTTGATTTTTTTTCTCTAGCCAAATACACGTTTCCAAACTTTCCTCTTCCTAGAGCAGGGCCAATTTCGAAATCTGCTAAGCACCATCTTTGCTCTTTTACATCTTTTTCTTTCTCTACGTCGGTACTGGTTTGCCCATTACTTCGAATCTTTTTTATTGCATCTACCCGTTTAGCCGGAGGAGGTAATCTTGGGGGAGGCATTAACTGCTGAGTCTTGCTTTTAGAGTCATTATCGTCCACAGGTTTCTCATGCATCGAAACTGTCTTACGATGCGAATTAGAAATAATAGATACAGTATTTTCTTTGGACTTAAACAACTTTTGGGACACGGAAGTCGAGATATTTGTATTTGTTACAACGGTAGATTTTGTTTCTTCACCTTGCTGTACGAGTTTAAGAACTTGATGCTTATTTTCCTTATCCTCCGACATATCGTTTGAAAACAATATTCAATTCTGAAATTAAACACAAATAGATCTTGTTCAAAATGTGACTGGATAGACAATCATTGTAGACAATGTTTATCGGAATATAAATTATGCCATTTAAATAATCTACACATTTTGGTTGCAATTCCGAGCAGTGTCACAAATCTAGCAAAGCACATTGTAAACCACACATGTTCGAAATGGATAACACAAACCCTCCGATGAAACAAGTAGCGGTTAAATCACTGCCAACAAATTGAGAATTACGCGCTGATTTCGCGAAAATGAAACTTCTTCAAACCTCCAAATAATTTCACCTGACTACACTCATAGCTCGAGCCAACAAAACTCAACATTTAAAATAACGAACTTAACGAATTTCCCTCTTAACGGGGATTGGACGACGCATGGGCATTGAGTAAACGCATGTAGACGGCAAACCAGAGCAGAGATGAGTTGGGAGATTGCTCACGGGCAGGATCGTGCGATTGCATCCTGTGCTGCCCTCTGGTTTCGAACGTTAGCTTTCACCGTTTTTTGTCCCCAAGGGCGGCACAACGAATTTCTGGTAGGGACTCGCGTACTGGCGATGGCGGTACCATCTACCAGTCGCCGTTGGTGGCTCACGTACTCGTGATGGTAATACCATGCGGCAGTTGACGGTGGTGGCTTACCTACGCTTACCGACACTGCTCGCTTTTCATGGTAAGGGAAGAACATTCGTGACACTCCATTTGACTTTATCTACTTATCTACTACTATTAAGTACATTGCTGCCTCGAAGTCGACGT